AAAGTACCTTTTATCATATCAGTTAGCACTAATAGCCTCCATGAAATAGGGATTAATATTTTGAACACCATACTCAATTGAGCAAAGAAATACAGAGCCAGTTCTCACTTTATGCACGTTTCTCTCTCCATCACTCGTGTCTCTGTATCTCTTTCTCTCTTCTCTCTCTGTTTCTTCCTCTCTACTGCACACAAATCACATCACTTCACCAAATTTATCCAGTGCCCACTGTGTCCAGGTTCTGAGCTTAGAGGTGCACACACAAAAGGACCTTGCTCAAAGTTGCTTAAAGAACTACGCTGTCTTCCATTATCATGAAAAGAAAGGACACTCTACAGTCAAAGAGAGTCCTCAAGGAGATGTAAGATCAGTCAATAGGTATAGAAGAAGTGCTCAACATTATTAACTATCAGGGAAATTCAAATCACAGTCACAAAGAGAAAAAAGTAAGTGTTGTCTAGGGTGAGGGAAAAAAGAATCCCTATACACCATTGGTGAAATGTAAATTGGCATCACCATTTAAAAAAACAGTAAAAAGGGCCTCCAGAATAATAAAAATAGAACTCCCATAAGATCCAGATATTTCTCTGTTGAGAACATAACCAAAGAATGGAAATGATCTTGTATCTGCACACCTATGCTTAAGATAGCATTATTCACAATAGCAAAGTTAGGGAGACAACTTAACTATCCAAAACAATTGTTTCAAATGATTATTAGGTAATTATTTTATATGGAGTATATATATGGCCTATATCGTTATTTCTATACATTTATAATTAAATTTGGAAATCATATTAATTATCAACTATCATATTCAAGGTGACCTGATCACCATCATTTCTTCAGTTATTTTATTCCTTCAGTTTCAAATTGTGTATGTGATTATTGTCACATGCATTTATTGATTGATGCAGATCTTAATGTTTGGTAACGTAATGCCAACATTTATGTCTCTATATTATATTGCAATTCAATCAGTATGTAGCAAATTTTAGAACATCAACAGAAAAGTTGCAGCACATGAACAAAGAAGGAAATAGGTAAATTTTTAAAAATCATATTTATAATAATTTAGAACACTATGGAAGAAACAAAGACCAGATGACTTACAGTTCCAGAGAAAGAATAGGCTTTTGTAGTTGAGCTTATTTTCTCCTTTCTTTCTTTCTTTTTTTTTTTACTATTTTCTTTTTTCAAATTTCATACCAGCAGAGATTCTCATGTAACCCAGGCAGTGATACTTTACAGATGAAAAAAAAATTCACATGATTGTTGGCACTTACATGGAGGTACTTTAATGAACTGTACAAGGGTTAAGCCTTTAACCCAACCTGGAGTTTTTATTGGGATATTTGATAAAGTCTCGAATGGAAAAATTGCCTGAGTGGAAGATCCAAAAGGACCAGTGAAACCTCCAACACATTCTCATAGGATTTCCTCTCTTACTGCTGCCCTTGATTGTCCTGAGACATGACTCTTGGGACACCCACCCACCACCACATCTTCCCTGACCTTTCCAGTCCTAGCTTAGCCATCTTGTCAACATACTCATCATATTAGCTAAACCGCCATCATATTAACTATATGACTATTTTCTCCAATGGGAGACTAAGTGAGACCAATCATATTCAATCATATTTGTAATGGGGATAGATTCAACTATTGGAAGTCCACTTATGCCTGACTTGGTTAAATAAGAATGTGTGATATGACTTATGGTGCATTTGGACAGGAACTTTACAAACCATTGAGTCACTAAAGATCTAGATCCCTTCATGATTTACCACTTCCCCATGAACTCTCAGTGGCATCAAGACACCACAACCTTGAGCTCCAAACAGGAATCCCTTGATTCGGTTCCATGGTTCTTTCTAAGAAATTCATAAGAGCTTTTATCTGGAATCATGTTTCAACCAACTCACCCAAAATCCACCCAACAAAGTTCAACCACGGAACTGGGTACTGTGGGGACAACTGAGCTCTATGATGTGCTTCACATTCTGGTTTACTTCCTCTGCCCAAAGTCTTCATAGTCTTCTTTTTTACATAGTCTCTTGTATGTATCAAAATTGATTTACAAAGTATCTTGTATGTATAAAAATTCTACTGAGTGTAGCATGCATTACTATTTCCTACATTCAAGACTTGGATCTCGGTTGTATTTTAAAATGCAACATCAGAATTCAGAAAACACTATTTATTTTATTTCAATAAATTTGAATAATAATAATCAAAGACTCTTGACATTTGGCTTTTATTATTTAACAAAGTTATTGAAGTTTATCTACTAGTCAAAAACAAAAAAGCAAAAACAAACAAAAGCAAACAAATCAAAAACCAAGAATGTATATTATTTTTCTTGGCTACTCTCTTGAGAGCAGTATAATAATACCCTTTTTCTGCTCCAATGCTAGTGAGAGATAAGTGTGAAGAACTAGTGAAAATGAAAGTGAAAAAGTTTTTAAAAAACAAAGAATAAATAAATAAAGTTATCTCTCTATAAAATTAAAAAATAAAAGGACATAAAAGTGGAGAATGAGAGAAAGAATGTCTTAACATCGACTGGGCCCAAGGACTCACATCTATAATCCCAGCACTCTGGGAAGCCGAGGTGAAAGGAGAGCCTGAGCTCACTAGTTTGAGACCAGTCTGGGCAACTTGATGAGACCTCATCTCTACAATAAATTAGCTTGGCTTGGTGGTGCATACCTGTAGTTCCAGCTACTTGTAAGGCTGATTCAGAAGGATCTCCTGAACCCAGCAGGTCGAGGCTGCAGTGGCCATGAGTTTGCCACTACATTCCAGCCTGGGTGACAGAGTGACTCCAACTCACAAAAGAAAAAAGAAAAAAAAAGAATGTCTTAGCATCACCAGATATTACCCTGCTGAATACATGCGAATAACTAACAAGCCAAAAAAATACAAAAATCTATCAAGATTGTGTTGTCATGAATCAGCCTCAGTTAGGTGACTACTAAGCTGAATGAGTGTAAATGACAAATGTATGCAAGTGAGAGAGTGAGAGGACTAGGATGAACTTTCAAGACAACCTTCCCTTCATCTTGTCTTTTTCTCAGAAGGAACATGGATATCTACATTTTCCTGCAGCTTCTGCCATGCTAAGCTTGCTACAGCTGTTGAGGGCTTAAGTGTAGTATTTAAGGTATAACCAGGCACCCATTGTGCAGTTACCCTGGGTTCTCTAGCATCTTCCTCTAATTATTACAAAGATTCAAAAAACATGTCTAGTCTGATCCCCAGTGAAGAAACTAATTTGGGAAGACAGGGCAATCCAAGTAGGAAGAATTTTGTTTGGGCCTGTACCATTGTGGAGAGATATTGTAGAGCTTGTTAGTGGTCATAATCTCCAGTAATGTGAACCTTCACTCTGCTGATTTTTAGCATTGCTCATTTAGCATATCTCATTGACCCCCTGCAACTAAATCTGTCTGGGACACTAGAAAACCAGAAACCCTATAGATCTGGAGCCATGGAAACTGGCTTGACTTATGCAGGTGCCAATGAAAATAGATGTTTCTATGACTGTTTGGAGGGTCTGAGTAGACCTGCAGGCAGGCTCTCCCAAGGCCTAGAGAGTGGACTCTGGGTCATCACAACTTCCCTTCTGGATTCTGAAATATTGAGGTAAAAGTGCAAGGTTGCTTAGAAACATTTTCATCATTTCCCTTCAGTTACTTATTTAATGTTAAATAATTGTGTGTATATGTGAGTTTTATTTGCACAACAAAAAATTATAAATTTCAAAAGAAAACTTATTTTCAAGGTAGAAGGGGCCTCTAGAAGTCACTTACACCATTCTCTTTTGTCTGGGTCTTTACTAGAGCATGTGTCATTCTTCCTTCTGGCATAAGTTCTTTCACGGTTGAAACATCACATGCCTTCTCCAGGATGACAAGGCATGCACATCTAACATGTAGACAGAATTAATATTAAAAGCCCTGGGACTGACAGAGCTCACCTTCAAATCCCTTTCGATTCCTTGTCATCTTTGTGTCTTTATCAGAGACCCTGAGCATTACCAACTGCAGGAGCTGGGCAGGGAATTTTATTTTGAGAAGTTGAACTGAAGAGTCCTGATCAGTCAAAGCAAGCTCAAACTTGAACTTTTATCTCAAATTCATAAGGGATGGTCCTTCCTAGAGAACAGTATGCAAATCTCCCGGTGAGAGCAGTGTCATGGAAAGAGCCAGTGTACAATATTCCTAAATATAAAAATGTATCTTTGTGTTGAGTGTGCTAACAAACCATGACATGGCACCATACAAACAAATAAAATAAACCAGAAACCAAAACTAGCCACTTCACATTATACAGAAATACTAAGTTTTTGCTTTAGAATCTGCCACATTACACAAGCTCACAAAATTCAATCTGAAAACTCAGATTCAGGATTCCTACTAGTTTTCCTGAACTAGCTGTCACTGAGGGCAGCTTGTGCAGATTGTTCTTTGCACCATCTCCATGGAGTGGGAAGCTAAGTAGCGAAAAGGAGTAGGAGGTTGGGAAAGTTGAAAATTACCACTTTCTGAACATTGACAAATATATCCTTTTAAAATACAAAAAGAAACCCCTAGTAATCTAAAAATGCATTCAGCATGTGTTACCACAAATCTGTGTTAATTTCCTGGTTGTTATGCTATTTAAGTCTTATTGATAATTGTAAGCAAGACAGGGAGTGTAGAATGAACTTTTGTTTATCTCTCCCTTCAGTCATATCTGTATACATTGAAGGCAACTGGATCATCTTTATTTTTCTGTGTTTATGTCATACCAAGGTTGTTGAAGCTAACGGGAACAATAATGAATTTTGCCTGTCATGTAGTCGAGAAACCCAAGGGACAGGGCTCTTAGATACAACCCATTGCCCTGATTTCTCCAACATCTTCATATTGTACATACAGACATTCTGCTAAGCTGCTACTTAGGTAAAAAACACATGTGAACAGCTGGGCCACCACAAGCAGGGAGGTTTGTGTTCAGGGCTGTAACACTGTGGGAGGAGTATGTATAACTTGCATGCAGTAATAAACCCCAACATCTTCAGCCTCCACCCTGTTAATTTTCAGTGTGAAATCAGTGCCTGACCCACTGCCACTGAACCTGTCTGGGACCCCAGAGGCCCGTCTGGAAGCCAAATAGATCAGGAGCTGTGGAGTCCGGCCTGGCTTCTGCAGGAACCACTCCAAATAGTTATTTCCATTACTATGTTGGAGGCTCTGACTAGACCTGCAGGAGATGGAGGCCGGCTCTCCAGGGGTGATAGGGAGGGAGAGTGGAGTCTGTGTCATCACAACATTCACACTGTTTCCTGAAATATGAGAGAGAAGTACAAATTTATGTACAATCCTTAAGAGCAATTTAAAAAATAACTTTTTGTATTATTTATTTTAGGCAAATCAGTTTTAATAATTTTTATTCAGACCCTAATAATGCTTAATTATAAAAATGAACAGATGTTTCCAGTGCACAAAACATCCTCTAGAGATCCCCTACACCACCTCTCTCTTTCTGTGTCAACATCTTCACCAGAACACAAGTCTTTGCTTGTTCTCAAATATTCCTCACTCTCACAGTTGTAAATGTCATATCCCCCATCACTGAGGGCATAATGGGCATATCCAACACATGGACAGAACACACATGATAGGCAGTGACAACCACAGAGTTCACCCTCCCACTCCATTCTTCTTCCTCATCTCCCTCTGTCCTTACCAGGGACCCAGAGCATCAGGAGTCCCAGGAGCTGAGCGGGGAACTTCATTTTGAGAAGTAGAACTGAGGAGACCCGATCAGTGAGGAAAGGGTTAGAGCTGAGCTTTTATCTCAGACTCCCAAGGGATCATTCTCCCTACATGGGCACTATGCAAATCCACTGCTGAGTGCAGTGATGTGGAAAGAAAAAACAGGAGGCTGTAATCGAGAGGGGCTATCCTGTGAGAAAAATATCTTTTGTGCTTGAGAAAAAAAACTAATGAGGGAAAGAAAAGTAACATACTTAAACATTTTCTTCTGTTTACTACCAGTTTTTTAAACTTCCATAACACTTTCTTAGTGTAAGTTATACTTGTCATTAATATAATTTAGTTTTCATTAGTATTTGGTGATTCTTTTTTTTTTTTCATGTTTTCTGAAAAGGTCTTGGTATTTTTAATTTTCAAATTGAGATAAAACATTCACCACATAAAGGACAAAGACATAATTTTGAAATGATCAAAAGTGTATGTATATTCATTCTCTAAATAACAAATATAGATGATTTCACATTATCCAGAAGCTTTCTTCATTAAGGTCAGTGTCGCCTCTCCCAGTCTTCTAAGGGAACTGCTGCTTTGACATCATAGTAGTTTGGTTTTCATAAACTCAAATGTCAGATGAATTGAGGGAAACATTTTGTAAAGATTTCTAACTCCTTCCCTGTTTCTTTTGTGTTTTTGAGGTGTTTATTTGATTGTATAGACAAAAGTAACTCTCTGTTGTCACTTTATGTGGTTCTGAGAGATTTCTTTTTTTAATTTCTTGTAGGAAATATCTGTTAGTCATGACTTCCTTCATTTTTTAATTTTGCCTTATTTTATTTTGTCGTCTAATTTGAAAAGATAGTACTTCAGAATCAAAATTAATCTTGTATGATTCTGTATATATGTTTATTATAATATATTTTTCATAGAATTTTAAGCTACTAAAGCCTGTTGTTTAATAAAGAAGATTGGAGAAATAAATTGTGCTCACTCTAAAGTGATAAAAGCTTCCATGATGGCCATTTGCCACTGGAATGTTGGAAAAAATAAAGGAAGACTAGGAAATATTAAAACATGATGGTGTCCATCAGTGGATAAGTGTTACTGTCACAATTATTTGCAAAAATGAATACAATTATCGATCACATGGACTACTTCAAAAGTCAAGTGATGTGGTACAGAATTCACTGAGCTACTCCTAAGTGGGGAGGCTCAGATATTGTTGGTACTATGCCTGGATTCCCCCAGCTGAGACCTCATTTCCAACAATCTAAAATTCTTAGGACCCCAGTTGAAGAACATATGACTAACACTGAGCTGGTACTTATTTCTTAAAATAGTTATTTTTCCAAGTTTTTCATTTCTGATTTAAGTTGGATTTTCTTTTCATTGTTATGAAAGAAAATATATCAGAGAAGGTAGAGGGTGGAGAGTGGATATCAAAGAATGTATACGAACCATACATTGCTGAATAGAGTTGGTCTGACTTGAACTTTTGGAGAAGAATATTTAGGAAAAAATATTTAAGGACATCACAAATTTTAATAAATCAAATATTAACAACTTGGAAATTCTTAAACAGATGCCCTCAAATGACCAGGCCTCACTTTAGAAACTGGATCCTCTCTCCTGTTCTTTATTAGATAGACCCTCTCACTCACAATTCTTTGCAGTATGTATTTCTGCAGTATGTATTTCTTATTCATTTCCACAGATTTAAACACTGCATTGGGGATAATATATCATAGAGGAAACTGGTTCAGCTAACCACCCTGGATTTTGTTATTTCTCCATTTCCATAGGTGTTATGTGTCCTATGCTTATGTGGTCTGCTAGATGAATGAGCGGCAGCATGAGGTATAACAAGTATTGATTGCTGAATGAAATGGGTGATCTCTGCAAAGGAATAAAGAAGAGGTGGTAATAAAAATCAATCAATAAATCAATCTATCCATCATCATCATTTATATCTAACATTGGTCCAATCTCCAGGCCATTTTTTTCAGAGGTATACAGAGTTCTTTCTAATGTTGTGCATTTACCATCTCTTGTGATCAAGTGTGTAAGACATCCTGAGGGTTTTTTTTCTGCGAAATAAAAAGGCCACGTCAAGAATAATTGTAAATTTTTGCACATGTTTATAGATATTTTATGCCTGATATCTATGACAAATCATAATTGGTTCCCAGGTACTGTTCAAGAGTGTGGTCACATTACACAGTGATGCTTTCCTCCTTCTATCCTGTAAGACTCCTTCAGCTCCCCTAGGGTGTATTGGATGAACAGGGGTGAGGGATACACAGAAAACTGGGTTTTGTGTTCTCATTTATAGTTCGATTTTATCATCATTTTATTCAGCAATTTCATGAGGACATAGTGGAGCTGTCAAATGATTGTGGAGGGAGGGACACCCTCTTTTATCATTCCTAAACCAAATACACCGTAGATTTTTATGAAAGATTAAACCAATATTTACACAAAGGTTAAATGTGTTACTTCAAATGTGCATTGAGATTGAAGTCAGGGAGTAATGCCTTCTTTGTTCTCGATTCCACAAAAGGCAATGACACTTGCATCATTTATAGCTTGGCAAATGTCCCTAGCATATGTAACTTATCACTCAGCTATTCTTCCTCAGTACTCTCTCAATTCTTTTTTTTTTTTTTTTGAGTTGGAGTCTCACTCTGTTGCCCACACAGGAGTGCAGTGGCCGCTCCCGGCCACCGCAGCCTTGCCTGCTGGGCTCCGGCGATCCTTTCGCCTCAGCCTACCTAGTAGCCCGAATTACAGGCATGCACTACCATGCCCGGCTGATATTTTGATTTGTTGTAGAGATGAGGCCTCGCTGCCCAGGTGGGTCTCGAACCCGCGGTCTCAGGCAATCCACTCACCTCAGCCTCCCAAAGGCACGGGATTACAGGCTCAGCCACTATGCCCGGCCTCTCTCAATTCTTTCTCTGGTCCAGAAGCTTCCACATTTTATGGTTTCTAATGAATAAGCATTCCTCCTTCTTTGGATCTGCAGCCAATACTCTATAATCTGTGAAATAATAATCTATACTTAAATTAATTCACATTCACATTTTCATTGTATTGTTTGTAACAGATAACCACAGAGTCTGACCTGTCATTCCAGAGAGTTGCTCAATGCTCACATAAATTTTCTCTGATCCCTGGGTTTATTTTGGAAAAATGAAATGCAATTTCATTTTTATCCTTTTGCAAAATCTGTATTGAGTCCAAATTGTTAGCTGGGCAATGTGCTAGATACTAATTTTAAAGATGACAGAAAAGAAAGAAGGAAAGAAGAG